AGACAAATCGTCATCAAGCACTGCTGCTTCAGATTGTGATCGGATTTTATTGTTTTCATTTTTTTGCTTCTGCAGAAAATGACTTCATCACCGAAAGCGCGGCATTGATTGTTCGCCATAATTCGGATATTTGTGATTTTGTGGTGACTGAGTTGGCTGTCTAAAACACGATTAAGTATACTTGTATACTTCGGCTCTCCCTATGATTTTTTTTGATTGCGAAAGCGTTGCTTTGAACTACCTGCCTTTGACTATCCCTGGTTAAAGCCTCTACCCAAAGGGTAAAAGGCTATACTAGTTTTGTGCGAATGTAACACACTGAGACCCCACAAAGTATATATATTATTGATCAGGATGACAAGTCGAGTCGATATAGCTATGTCCGTCAGTCCGTCTGTATGAGCGCAAAGATCTCAGCAAGTGCAATAGCTAGAATAACCAAATTTGACATTCAGGTTCCCCTAAGCCCTAGGCAGATCGAGTTTGTGTTTTTTCTTCTGATACACCCCCCACTCCCCCGCAATTCGTGTTTTTCATTACTCGTAATTCTTGGAATATTGAACTAAATTTAGCATATACATCCATTTGTGGTTATTTGTCCGTGTGCCATGTGTCATCATGATAGGTCAATTATGAAGAAAGTTATAGCCATAAATAAAATCGCTGCCCATGCTCTGCTTGCAGCGCTGCCGGCAGCTGTTGTCGTTGTACCTGCTTTGGTTCATACACACACGCATATAAACACGCAGAGACACGATTCTGATGTACACTGCCATGCACTTGAATAGGGACAAGATTTTCTAGCATTTGTATTATGTTTTTCTATTTTGGGGAAAGGGCTGCCTTTAAATGCTTTGGTGTTTCACTTAGAATGCAGCATCAGGGAACTGTACAAATTTACAGTTAGCTTTTAATGATTAACAGTTATGAATTATCACTGTTTTGCTTTTGGCTATGCTAAAAACACACAGTTTTTGCCATGCACTTGAATAGGGACAAAAACTTTAACATTCTATATGTTGCAAACTAATTAAAAAATGAGCTTACAGTTTTTTTTATTATATTAATATTGGCTTTATTAATAATGTGTGTAACCGCCTTTATTGGAAATAACCTCGTAGATTCGATGAGGAAGGGAATCATATAAGGACTTTATATAGTCTAATGAAATTTCGCTCCAGGCGCTTTCTATGGCTTCTGTTAATGATTGGACGTCTGCAAACTGTCTTCCAGATGCGTACACTTTACGTGTAAGCCATCCCCATACATTCTCAATTACATTGAGATCAGGAGAGTAAGGGGGCCACTCCAATAAGGACACGTTCTGCTTGCTTATCCAGTTTTTGACTGAAATGTACAAGAGTATATTAGGTTTGCGCGAGCTGAAAAATGTAACAGGCAGAAGTAGGCGTGGCAGACCCCACAAAGTATATATATTCTTGATCAGCATGACAAGACGAGTCGATTTAGCCCTGTCTGTCTGTCCGTCCGTATGATCACCTAGATCTCAGAGACTATAAGAGCTAGAGACACCAAATTTTGCACAAAGATGCCTTATGTGTGTACACTATACGAGTTTGTTTTATTTTTTTGATTTTCCCCCCCACTTCCCCCCTATGGGGGTTTTCCCGATTTTCCATTCGTATAATCGCTTATATCTCGGAGACTATAAGACCTAGGAACACCAAATTTTAGTCCCAGATGCCTTATGTGAATACGCAGAAAATGTATATTTTGGAGTTTCCCTCCCTCCCCCCTCTACCCCGCAAATCGTAACTCCCGTTATTCTTGGAATTTCGCACTAAAATTTTGCAAATGCCCCCAGTTAGTTTTTATGTGTCCGTGTGCCAAGTTTCACTATGATAGACCGATTTAACAAGAAGTTATAGCCATAAATATATTTGCTGCTGCAGCGCTGCTCAAGCGCTGCCCGCGGCTGTTGTTGATGTTGCTGTTTGGTTGACTGCGAAAATGCTTACACAGACACGAATAGCTGCGCATAGGCATACATACACTCACACAGACGCAATTGCTATGTAAATGTGCAATTATAAACCCTTTACGTGAGTTCGAATAACGAGAGAGGTAAAATCGATCAAATTTTTTTTTTATTTTCTTAATTATTTCAAAGTCGGGACACCCGACTTTAGCTTTTTATACTCTGTACATGAAATGTACAAGAGTATATTAGGTTTGCGGGAGCTGAAAAATGTAACAGGCAGAAGGAGGCGTGGCAGACCCCACAAAGTATATATATTCTTGATCAGCGTGACAAGACGAGTCGATCTAGCCCTGTCTGTCTGTCTGTCCGTCCGTATGAACACCTGGATCTCAGAGACTATAAGAGATAGAGACACCAAATTTTGCACAAAGATGCGTTATGTGTGTATTCTATACGAGTTTGTTTTATTTTTTTGATTTTCCCCCCCACTTCCCCCCTATGGGGGTTTTCCCGATTTTCCATTCGTATAATCGCCTATATCTCGGAGACTATAAGACCTAGGAACACCAAATTTTAGTCCAAGATGCCTTATGTGAATACGCAGAAAATGCAAATTTTCTCTAACTCCCGTAATTCTTGGAATTTCGAACTAAAATTTTGCAAATGCCCCCAGTTAGTAATTATGTGTCCGTATGCCAAGTTTCACTATGATAGACCGATTTACCAAGAAGTTATAGCCATAAATATATTTGCTGCTGCAGCGCTGCTCAAGCGCTGCCCGCGGCTGTTGTTGATGTTGCTGTTTGGTTGACTGCGAAAATGCTTACACAGACACGAATAGATACGCATAAGCATACATACACTCACACAGACGCAATTGCTATATAAATGTGCAATTATACACCCTTTACGTGAGTTCGAATACCGAGAAAGTTAAAATCGATCATTGAATTTTTTTTTATTTTCTTAATTTTTTTTATTTTCTATAATTATTGTAAACATATGTACAGAGTATTTCAAAGTCGGGACACCCGACTTTAGCTTTTTTACTTGTTAATTTAATTAAATAATTTAATTAATATAATTTTAAAATTCATTTAATTTTTTTTTTCGTTTTGGTGGGAGGTACAGGGTATTTAAGAGTTGATCTCGCTCGACTTTAGCATTGCTTTCTTGTTTTCCTTTTGGCCTTTTTGATCGAATGGGCTCCTTTGGTGGAAATTTATTTCATTTTCTTGTTGGCTGTTTTGACGACAGCCCTGGGACCGATGCAGTAGTGCTCTTGCTGGTCCCCTCATTTTATTTCAAATAGCAATAACTTCATAATGCCTTTATCAATTATCGAAATTGTGCTTAATATTCAAGGCACTTACGCATTTGGGCCTCCAGATTTTCTACCTGTTCTTCACTCATATTGCTATCTGCCTTGATATCTCGATAGGAGCGTATCAGTTACTGTCGCTACTGTCCGCTCTTCAGTTCTAAACATTGAGTGGCAAGACAATTGTAATTATATGAACCATTTACTATTTTTGTTGTATTTGTTAGAAATGATCAAAAATTGGCTTATAACAGTACTTAATTTGTTTAAATAATTGCAAAAAAAATTACAATTTTGATTAAATAAAGGATGCATTTAAAAAAAAACGTATGCATATGATCAATGAAAAAACTTTAACAAATCCAACTCAGATCCATTTTAAGGCGAAATAGTGCGTTATAATAATGAACGTGTGTGGTCGACTTTATATGGCAAAGTTTGTTGTAGGGGGGCAACGGCCCCCCTGCCAACGCCCTTGGGAGTGAACTTGTTTCTGCAGTTGGGGGGGGGGGGGGGGGGGGGGGGGGGGGTTCTACTGTAGAGAATTTGTTTCGCTAATATTTTCTTAGAATTGACCGAATAGGATAACAACAGTAGATAATTATATATAAAGGAGGAAGGGGGAAAATTTAAAAAAAATAAATAAACTCGTCCTTTCTCGGACTCGGAGAATCTGGGTACCACCTTTTGTTTTTCCAGCTTTTATAGTTTCAGAGATACTTGCGTTCATCCAGACGGACGGAAGACCATGTCTAGATCGATTTCTCTCGTCATACTGATTCAGAATATATGTATATACTTTATGGGGTCAGAGATGCTTCCTTCTGCATGTTACATACTTTGCACAAACCTAATATACCCTTTTTACTCTACGGGTACAGGATATAAAAATATTTAACACGACTTTTGTTAATTATTGAACACTAATAATGGGAAAAAAAATTTCAGGGTGTGTCAAAAATAGAATTTGAAATATATAACTATATATGTACTGCTATTGATCCAGGAATTTGTGTGTTCAAGAACTGGAAAAAAGCTAAAAAAAAATTTGGAATTGCTAAGGCATATATCAAGACATATACATACTTAGTCAATATCCTTGACTGTTTTTGAAACAAGTGCGCGAGTTTTTTTTCGCTTCTGGAGAAATTTTAAATAAGCGATGAGATCGGCCTCTTACCTCAAATATAGATGAGCTAATACAAATTTAAAGTGCTTAATATGGATATATTTTTCGTTTTTACATTTAATGACATGTTCGTGTTTAGAAATACTTTCGTCGTGCGTGCGCTTCCGTGTTTCCAAAGGTTCATTTCGTGGTCGTGTCGGGCCGAAAATAGCCGGCCCATGCCCATCTCTAGCCTGTACCCAAAGGGTAAAAGGCTATACTGGTTTTGTGCGAATGTATGTAACATACAAGATGCGTAGCAGACCCCACAAAGTATATACAGTGAAAACTCCCTTAACGGACACCTCTTTTAACCGGACACCCTTCCTAGGCGGACACTTTTTCTAGAACAATCGTTTTGGTGTACTTTTTAGAGCAAGCTCGCCTCTCTTGACCGGACTCCTTTTTTCGAGAAATTCGAATTTATGCCTCTCTTGGCTGAACGCGAACCTCATGTTAAAGATAACCTCTCAGCCGGACGCGTACCTTTTGGTAATGGACGTTTCAAATACATGCCTATTTGTCAAACTGTAAAAAGATACTACATGCCCAAATTTAAACTTTCTAGCTTTTACCGTTTAAACTGTGCATTCATTGACATCATTCAGTATTATATTAATAAATTATATAATACATATTACTTATTATTATTATTTAATGCACATTTCAGTTATTGTCCCGCGGTATTCCTAGTTCCGAATTACTCCATTTCGATGGGCTTGGGTAGTCAAATTCACCCTGTAGGAAACAAACGCCTGTAAATGTTTACAATCCTATATAAAAAAAGCATACCGTTATATGATCCGGTTCATGCCATAAATGCCAGATTACCCACCACCACATTGCTCCACCTACCGCGACAGCACCAACTTTAGTTGCTTTTGAATGGGGCGGCGGTGGGACCCGATATGAAACACTGTAAAGACCATTTCTTATGTAATTATTATTGTATACATGATCAGATACTTACACATGGCTTTGCCTCTGTGGAGCAGAGGTTTTCAACACATTCTTCAACAAAATGTAGCCGTATTGACAACTACGAAATCTAGAAATATTCATCTTTTAAATTAGAATAAATTTCTTGATTCTTAGAACACAAAAAAGGAGATGTTTCCTAGGGTAGTTAGTTATCAACGATAGTATCAATTAAATCGATAGTATATATTTTGTAAACAGCTGCTCCAAACAAATTGTGCAGTGTGACCAAACAAAAGATTGAGTACACTGCAAAAAATTCGCTTTGACAGTTAACCAAAATGGTTTCAGCATTAATGTTTGCAAAGAAAATTGACAACCAAAAGTTTTTTCTATGTACTTTTGTGTAACTGCTTAGCTTCGTTATCAACAAAAAATAAAATTTTGTTTGGAAATTTCGAGCATGCCGAATTCCAAAACAAAAATCAGGGGTCAGAAGCTCAGAAAGAATTCTATAGCATTCCCTGCAACACAGCTGGCAATGAAATTGTAAACACGACTTTTACATGTTAAGTAAAAATCAATTTCAGAATAATGTTTTGACCAGTTTTTGAGTAAAATGTATTTGTATGAACCAGCGAAAGATCCGTGGTATTGCAACTTGACGTAATTTAATGGGACTTTACTACCTGTTTATTCCCATAACAATAAAACAATTTCTGGGGCGCCACAGAAATCTCTTCCGCCCAAGTTTCGCCTAAAAACCAATTTTCGGTGCCACAGTAATCGCTTTTGGCATGTTTCAAATCTTGTTTGCTTTGCTAGGAGTTTTGATTAAAAACACTAACAAAGACATTTTTCCAAATAAAAATATTTATTGGAGTATAAACCTTATAGTTTTTCTGAACAATCTGCATATTTTGCATATCCTACGTAAATATTATAAAATTAGCAAATTACTAAATGTATACTCAAAACACCAGCATTCGCACACAGCATCCTAAACAACCGCACAGTAGAGATGCCCCATTGGCCCAAATAGAACATTACATTTTTCGAACATCACAATTTGTTGTCCCCGTAATTGCGAAAAAATCGAAATAACTTTATAAAAAATGTTGCAAATAAATTGAATTTTTAATAAGCAACATTCTTTTGCGGGATCAGATGCGCTTCTTAACATTTGTTTTGCATTTTTCAACAATTAATTGGCGCATGTTTATTTATTTGCAAATGATCTATTTATTTCTTATAGCCAAAAAATCCAAAGACATTCATTCGAAATATAGGATCAGGTATGCAAAAGGCTATGCAAATGCAGACAAATTAGCTGCGTGAAGCAATAAGGGATGAAACGCACACATTCCGCCTTGCAATATAAACACATAAGCATACCAGCATAAACATTTCACACATCACACATATTCTTGCCTGACACGAACGAGCGCTCGGCTTCTACAGGCCGGCTCGTACGACTCTCTGCTTCTGCCGGCAGAGATCGTGGGTCGTATGAGACTCACAAATACCCGAGGCAGTATTCGCTATGGGCAGCAGCGGGTAGTGAGCACATTTTACGAACACTGCTCATTACTCAATTGAACGTTAAAATTTGGTAATGTTTTTTACTCTCACAAGTTTTTTTTGCATTCACTACCCGGATACATGATAGGGAATGAAATATACTAATGTATGCGGTGTAATTTTTGTTTTGGCGCATTGCTGGTATGAACAAACCATGGTGCCGCAGCATACAAAGTGTTCATAAGAATGAAACAACTTAATTGTTTGTAATTTATTGATATTCGTTGCTTTCAACAAAGGATGTTTATAAAAACGCATGGCTCAAAATCTAACCGAAATATTTGATCTGTGTCGATCTCGCTACCTAAAACTACATCCAGAAGTGTTCTTTTTTTCTGCATGTTCGGAGCAGAAAGCTCAAAATTAACGAATATTGAATAAAATGTTAAATTCTCTAAATATGTAAACAAATACCTAAGCTTACTCATATTAATTACATTCTCTCAATGTACTCAATATTTGTCTATTATCCATTCTGACTTTTCGCATGCATCTGAGGCTGCAGTCGCGGCAGCCAGAAGCACTCGTTATTTAATTACGCAAAAATACACATTGTTAAAAACGTAGCGTGGCCTATTATTTAAATTAAATCAAATTATGTAATTATAATCGGGCTAAAGGTGGCGCAAACCAGTGTCTCCTCTAAACATTGGTGACCCCGACATGATGTTTTGGGGATTAATTTCGCATAATGGTTACAATTCGGTAAAATTAAGTACATTTTTTTCGAGCGTCTTTGCACATTTCGGTGAAAAGACCACGCATACATACAACTTACAAACGGCGACTTCCATGTGTATGTACGGTATATGCGCATTGGCGCAATCGTTCTGCTGCTATACCCTATTCGCATAAGCGGTACATGCAAGACGCCTTCAGTAACATAAATCACGCGACTCTTCTTTTGCATAACTGTACAGCAGCGTAACTGTAATTGGAAAACACAAACAAATAAATAAATACGTGCATATTTAACAGCCTCACGTCTCCGCTGTTAATTACATTATCGCCATCATAGTTAGCATTGCCGACCGGCTAATTGTTTACGATGCTGTTCTAAATAATCCGCGAGCCGAATTTAATCTGCTTTGGAACTAGCAGAGCTCTCGCGTATATATTTATGTATTATACAAACAAGTAGCCACTACACAGCCAAATTTGAGTGATACTGACTTTTACGAGGCGTAAACTGCTGCAGTATTCAAACAATTTGTGCCAATGAACTATTTTGCCTGATGAGCTTAGTCATTTGACCTGTAGGTGTGTGTAGAAAGCGTCATAAGCATTAATACTGATTTTAATCGTGCGCAGTCAACTCTCGAGAAATTAGATCTGCTGGAATTGGCGAGCAAATATATAACGAGGTAAAACCCAAGCTTTCTAGGCAGCTCTAGGTAGGGCCACAGTCTCCAACTCTACAACAGTTCATCAAAGCATTGATGATCAAATCTCATTATTAAGGATAACATCTCGCAAGTCCCACTTACCTGAATTGCAGCTCCCACGAGCTGTCTACAACTCTGCTATCGGTAACAATTGTTAAAAAAATGATTTGATAACAAGTTGCTTCATTTTCGGGCACACGTGCGGTCTATATTTGGTCTTTCAGTCGTTGAGTCAGGTTCCGCAAGCAGTCTACGAACATTATGGGCAGACATATCGCAATTTTTTGAGGAGAGATGTCGGATGATGGACCTGCACCTGCAATTGCCACGCAGCCACATTCGTCGTCCTCATTTGTATTAAACACTTCGCTTCAAACAGAAGCAGCAGCCCTGAAAGCCGTGCCACCGCAATCATTTGCACCCAAAATTATTGGGACATGTTCGTACCATGCATTGCAGCTGAACTTCGTCACTGCTTGTCTTGCTGACCAACTTAAGCCATATCGCACAAGCATCACTATAAATCGGTTGACATTTTTGCACAATCTCGAGACGCCAGCTATCGTGATACATTTTCTGCTGTTATAACACACATAATTACCAACTATCAGCCACACTTCGACTGAACGCAACAGAGTGGAACCCACTTTTCTTCAAATCTTAACGTATCGATCTACTCATAGATGCAGGTCTGTTTTTTGATCTTCTTGGCTACAGAAGACCAGACTAGGCTGGATTGTATCTGGAATTCTTTCAAGTAACAAAGCAAAGCATTCTGCATTAGCCACACTTAGAAAAGAGCCCAGTTCGTAATCAGGCGCTGACTCGCTGTCCGTTATTGTAAAATAATTCTGGGAAATAGATAGCTGCTGCGGTCTTTCTTCGATCATTTCCGATGACGACACGCTTAGTGAGCAGCTATTTTTAAGAAAGGATGTTCACGGTTTGGATCTGGTCAATATTCGGTTAAGCTTCCGGCCAGTACAAACTTCGATAATCTATGCAACTCATACGATACAGCCCTCTACCGATTTATTTTAATTAAGAGCTTTGCGGGAGGTGAATAATGTAACAGGCAGAAGGAGGCGTGGCAGACCCCACAAAGTATATATATTCTTGATCAGCATGACAAGGCGAGTCGATCTAGCCCTGTCTGTCCGTCCGTATGAACACCTGGATCTCAGAGACTATAAGAGATAGAGACACCAAAGTTTGCACAAAGATGCCTTATGTGTGTACGCTGTGCAAGTTTGTTTTATTAATTTTTTTTATTTTCCCCCCACTTTCTTCCTATGGGGGGATTTTCCATTCGTATAATCGCCTATATCTCGGAGACTATAAGACCTAAGAACACAAAATTTAGTCCAAGATGCCTTTTGTGAACATGCAAAAAATGTGTATTTTATTTAAAATTAAAATACCTCAATAATAAAATATAATTAAAAGCTAGAGGTGTAGAATCACTGACCCGTTGGGTGAACATTTATTAGCCAGTCCGGCAAGCTATGCCCCTACTCACAGCAGTGGTGATCAATGATTCTCCCGGAGGTAGAATAGAAAATAGAAGAGTTTAGTGGGGGGAGAGACAGCTCACTTGAGATGAAAAAGTATTATTATTAGAGCATAATACTCGCAGTATTGTGCATGGCGTAATCACTAGTGAAACTGTTAAGTAGAAGAGGCACAAAGTTCCTCGTTGGCCTGGAAGGAATAGAAAATTTAATAAGACCACACGGGCGGTATTGCGAATCGGCGGGATGATCGTGGCCCGGACGAGCTTAAGTTAAAGGACGCTTGTGGTAGGACCACAAGGCGGGATCCTCGTGGTCCGGTTTTGATGTTTGGGTAGACACTCGTGGTCCGTTTAATTAAAGGCACTTGTGGCCCTACTGCTTCAGTGGACCCTCGTGGTCCAGTAGATGCGAGTAAAACTGGTTGTCCTGGTTGCGCTTGAGTGAAACGACGCAGACGTTTGGTTTAGTTTTCGTACTTAATAGCGAGCTGCACCAGGATCCTGGATGGTGAGTGCTTGCAGTGACCAAGGATACCGGCTGGCAATCCTTGGAAGCATGTAGTTCAACGTGGTAGTTGTCGTGGTAAACGATCACCTGTTCCCGTATTGACAAAGTAACAGGTCGTTCGTTGATAACTTGCATACTGACTTTATTCTTAAAATTCATGGCTTATATATGTAAGAATATGTGTGGTCTTGATGGGATGAATTGGCATCCCCAACCA